CAAAAGATAGATCCACGATCCTAGCCACAGATCTAGATACTCCAGTATTGTTACGGCTAACTAAATCTAGACCAACGAGCTAGATCCCCTTCCAAAGGAATCCTCTCCGGAACCGCACCGAGAGACTAATATCAAGCGCCACGCCCAACAGAAAACCAGCAACAGCAGTCGAACACCACTAAAGGCGACGACCACTAGAGAGAGACTAACAGGAGTCGGGGGAGCAAAAAGCGTCGGCTTTAGCCCCATCCGCCACAAAAACAACGGACGACACCGACAACAACGATTTTTCCGCCAAATCGTCGGCATCCCACCAGAGCCCCCGCCATAGCCACGCGATAAAGGGAGAAGCGCCACGTTGGGAAAGGTAAGCTCGTCGAACGCCCCTGTGTCGGCCAGCTCGCCGAGGAGAGTACAACGGAGAGGAAGCAAGGGCAACGATTGAAGAAGAAAAGTGAGAAAAATGGAAATGGGGTTTTTTGCCTGCCTAACAATAGTGGAACAATCACATTTTTGTTTACTTTTATTTTATTTATGTTGGTCTCTCTTTGAAGTGAACAGAGATTTTTGAGAAAATTACACCCTTTACAATCCCTTGCACAAATAATATTCAATTTACGAGTACATGAAATTTTCATCAGATTTACGTGCTCATTAAGGGTATGTTTGGTTTAAGTAAGGGATGAGGGAAGGGATTTTAATGGAAGGGAGGTGAAGGGAGGGGAGGTGATGTAAAATAATTTTACCTTGTTTGGAGGGATTTTGTAGAAAGTGAGTGGAGAGAAAATGGTAAATCTTGTTTGGTTAGAAAAAATGAAAGGAAAAGAAAATATTGAAAAAATGACAATTATATCCTTAATAGTGTAAAAACCAAAAAAATAAAATAATTTCATAATAAGGTCAAAAGAGTAATTTTGTTGTTAAAAATTTTCCCTCCTCTCCAAATTTCCCCACTTTTGGAGGGGAGAAGTTTTTCCATTGGAGGAGGGATTTGAAGGGAAAATCCTAATCCCTTTCCCTACAAAAAATTGAACCAAACAAGAGAAAATTAAAAAATTCCCTCCCCTCCCCTCAATTTCCCCCGAACTAAACGCTGCGTAAAATAATAGAGTGGGCAATTAATTTTTGCCCTGATTAACCGTGAACTGCTATTAAATATTCATCCCTTTCTCTCTCTCTCACCCTCTTCCTTTGTAAATCTCTCGCTGTCTCACCCTTATCTCTATTTTTTTTTTGTTCTTTAATCTCTCTCTCTAGCACCCTCATCTCTTTCTTCTTTTTTCGTTCTTTCTCTGCCCAATTTCTTCTCTACAATTTCTCACAACACAAAATTTTCTGGATTTTTAGAAATTACCTTTCAATTTCGGATCCATGGAGGTCCAGTTCGGTGGCGCTACGAGCGGCGGCACAATGCACAAGGCCAGAACTGAAGACTCGTCAATTCCACCATCATCTTCCCAAATTTCTCTGTTACATATATCATCTTCATACACCAAGCATAAAATCCTATTTATTTATTGCAGAGGCTCGTCAATGACGAAGAAACGACCATTATTGGTAAAACTGAGAATCTTCCAAAAAAGCTCAAATTCACCAGAAGTTTTGCAACTAAAGGTTCGAAAAAGCAACCAATCGAGCTATCTGGTAAATTACCCTAACAAAACTTGACAAGAAAAGGGTGATTTTATATCAAATCCGACAATGAAGAACAAAGTCCTCCTCGGGTGAGTCATTGAAGGAAAGAATTAGTACCTCACAAGAAGAAAGTTGATATTGCTAACAGGGATAAGTTTAAGATGGTTGATTATGTTTTTTTTAATGTCAAGGTATATTATGTTTATCCCGTTTCAGAATTGTTTATATGTTGTTTATCTTATGTATAACTATACGGTTAATATTAGAAAACTGCCAGATCATGTTTATCTAATGTATATATACAGTATATGTGAACATATATTTGGAGTCATTCAGAATTGTGTATTATGTTTTATCCCGTAGTGTTGTTTACATGTTGTTTATCTTATGTATAACTATACGGTCAATTTACATATTGTTTAACTTATGCATATTAATGACATTATTTTTATTTTGGTGAGAGGAACAAATTTTTTGGAAAGAGAAGCAAAGCAACAGATTGGAGAGAGA